AAACTTCTGTGGAGATGTTCCTCTGTGACTTGTCATTGTTGGCTCAGCTCAGCTAAGGCTGACTCCTCACTGTGAGCTTGCAGAAGGACCCTGAAGCATGATCTCCACAAGGCAGGGAGACTTAAAGCTGCTGACAATTTATTCATGCAAGATCCTGGTTCAGAGAGCAGCTGAAACCCTCAGCAAGTTCTAATGAATTTGTCACCCTGTGTAACTGGGGATTCTACATTCAGCATTGTTTTTCACAACAGACACACCAAATTCCCCTCTGCAGGAAAAAGACATCAGCACTCTTATTCTCCACTGCAGAGCCTGGTGTGTAAAGACAGATGCTGGGTTTGGAGTAGGAACTCCAGAAAATTCTCAGTGGTAATTTTAAAAGGAGATGACAGAATGTTGAAGTCAACTTTAAAATACCTTCTGATTGTTCCCCCCACCAAGTTTCCTTTCAGCATTAGAGAGCAGCAGTTTTACCACACTGATATACACAGGGGTAACCAGATTTTTCCATATGGGTAAATACACAGAAATGTTCCTGACCTCATATTCCTGGACTGCCTTTGAAACCTACAGCTACAATCAAAGGCAGAAGTCCTCAGCCAAACTGCTACTGTCCCCTGCCTTAATGGGGGGCATTACAGACCAGCCACAAGTTTGTTTTCAGTGTGTCCCTTCCACAAATTTTGTAGTGTACTGGGAAAGAGGAATGCAAATAAGATGCTATCTATTTCTAGACAGCCAAAGGATTAGCTCCTAACTATTTTCTTTGCATGAAAACATGTGGTTACAAGAGCTGTTGAATGAGTAAATAAAAAGATAAAGTTAAGTGAACTAGATAACAGAATTTGAAATAACTACAATTCATGATAATATATACTGCTGGTCTTGCTTAGGCTTTGCTAAACACTAATTTGAAGAATAGGTTATTCCTTTCCCTTAGCCTGTGTCTCATTAGTCATGTTCCAAGGCAACAGGTTTCCATGACAGCAAACATTAACTCTCTTGGAGCACAGCCCGTTATTTCTGCTACGAACACTAAGCTTTCACTACTATACTTTAACCTAGACCAGCTATCTTCATAAAAAAATCCCTGAAATATCCTAACAGACATTTAAATCAACAGCTGTATTTTATTTGTACTGTGACCTTGCCAAGGAACATGCAGGCTATTGAATTTAGTAGGAATGTCATCAACTCCCCCAGAAGGATGCTGTTACCTGCTCTGAGCTCACAAATTCTGGCAGCCATCTAAATTGAAAAGACAATGATGCAAGATGATGATGCACACTCCATGCTCATAAAGACACTGGATGAAGTTAATGAAAACCCTACCATAGGGATTAACTGCGGAACTGAGACCTTTGGGTTTAGTCACCTTGTGCAGGGTGAGAGCAAAATCCCCCTCACACAGGAGCTGTGCTGACAGAAATACTTTCAGACGCATCTTCAGTGGAGCAGAACGTCATGGACAGGCAGGGATAAGAGTTCTCTCTCTATATGAACTGTTATTTTGAGGGGACTGTTAACTGAATGTCTCTGGGTATCTTTGAAAGCTCCCCTCACACTGTTACACTCTTGTAATCTTTCCTTATAAACCAGTCCCTCCTGACACCTAATGTACCGGTTTTGCACGCTGTATTACTCCAATACAGCACAGTGCTAAGCAGAGGATAGAAAAATGTATTATCTATTCAAAGGACTGTAAAATAAAGGAAAAAATGGTAACTCATCCTTTTATAAGTACAGCATTATTCCGTCCAGTGAAAATTCAGACACAGAATCACATCCAAACTTTACTGTAAGTTTCCCACCTGAGTTTCTGAAAGCACAGCGGGGCTTCGCAGGAGCAGTGAGGAGGACGTCTTGAAGATTCCCGTTCAGTGCCTCTTTGTTAAACAAAGGCTGATGGGAGGTAACCTAAATGTCAATTTTTCCTACAGTTATTTGTAAGAGTTGACACCTTTTAATGAGCCATTACACTCAGAAATTCATAATGAAAAAAGAAAACAAAAATTATAAAAATCGATCCTATGAGATCCTGCCACTCTTGCCTCTCACTCATGATGATCTGTCATACTTTTAATATTCCTTTTGACATTATTACACTTATTTTTACCCCAGTCTAATATCTGTCTCCTTCTTTTTAATTGCCATCCTATGTTCAAAGATGTCACAACTCACGAGTTGCAAACAGTAGCAGACAGAGAACCAGCTCTGTCCCAGCTGGTGAGTAGTAAGATCACAAGAAGAATCCTCCAGGCAGAGATGCCCATACGAAAATCAAGCAGCTTTTTGTTAGATGCAGCTGGCAAAAGCAAGGAAGGCAATCTAGGCTAGCAACATGACCGTGATTCACGGTTATTTTAGTAAACACAATTTTGCAAACTAGGACATAAGTACTTGAGGCTTGTCAGCAAGGTGAGAGTTTAGGTAACTGCAAAAGATGAGATGAAATGGGGAAAACTGTTAAGGAATCTGCTAATACCTTTTTGGATAATAATTTCATAAAGTCATCTCAGAAAACTTGACACTGAGCATTGCATAGTATGACTATATGTTGAAAAGGCAAGTTGAAAAGAGCAAATATAAATGAAATGGGTAATGCTTCCCAGCTCTGTCAATTACGTACAAAGATACGTGCATCTCCTGCTCTAAGAAAAATCAAGGAACTAAGATAACAAGAGAGACATCAATCTTCTGATGAGCTCTGCTCCACAGTGCACTGATCTATGCAGAGTCCTGTTGGTGGCAATGGAGTTGCACAGAGATGGAGACACAGGCATTCTGACAGTGACCTAAGGGTAAGCCGACAATAACGGGGTTTCATTTGGGCTTTTTCCCTTTGGGAAAGTTGGGTTGAGCTGAATTCCATTACAAAACCATTCAGGTGAGTGATCCCTTTCTCACTGAAGACTGTAAAAAGTATAAGTACAAGTTTTATGCTTCAAACCAATCTGGTTTTAAGTATGCCATACATGCAGGCTGACACTAGCAAAACTCACATTAATTAATGCTCACCTGCCTGCTTTCTGTAGCCCACCTGTAGGCAACAGGAAACTGGAGATGTTTCTTAGAGCATGAGCATAATTTAGCAGTTCTTTAGAGTACTTGACATATACTTTCCATTCAGTTTTGTAGTACAAAGGCAGGTGGCACAACAAGCACACCATATTCCAATAAACTTTTGCACTAAGCAAGGAAACCATACTAATTCCCTCACATTTCTCAAGTTGACACTGGATACATCAGTTTGGCAACGCTGTTCATTTCAGATGCTATACTGATATGGCTAAGTACCCCTAGCTAGTCTATTATTTTTTTCCATAAGGAATTCTCCTTCATTTGAAATTACAGGGAAAGAAGTCTTCTAGCTCTCCTTAGAATGACTGAAAAGACAGGTTTATGATATCCTTATTCATACCAAGAAATTTTTTGAAAATCTTATTTTGATATAATCCAGAATTCAAGCAACATGACAGTTTCAAGAGTCAGAGAATCACAGCATGGCTCCAAAAACGAGTGAAAGCAAATCAAACTACTGATGATTTCACTGAATAGAAGTCACTTATAAAGAGCAGAAGGAGCCTTTTTGTACATTCTGAAGTGGTTTCTTAATCAATTAAACACTCTACTTTTAAAAACTTCATTTCAAACCATGAGAAAATAATATACAACTCATACAATTTCATTAATTTACTATTAAACTGGATGTCTTCAGAGCTATTAAAAGCCCTTCAGCAATTTCACTATTTTTTCAATGCTCAAAGTATGCCTTTGACATCAATGCAGAGAAAACAGATGGATAAAGTAATTATAAAAAGAGCAACATGATGCTATGAAGCAGCTTGTCACAGTTTTACTAACAGACCAGGAAGCACAGGCAGAAGAGGAGGCTGACAATCAGCACAGTTGTTGTGTTATGTCAAAGTGCCCCCACCCTCCAAACAACCCCTGTACCCCTTCCTGGGAAGATACAAATGGACTAGGAAAGAAGGAGCAATGAAAAGATTAGAGTAAGCATGCAGGACATTTAAAGATTAGAAAAAACCCTGAAAGAAAATACTGACTGTACACCCCGGAAATTAAGGAAATGTATCTTGACTGGAAATGTGAATCAGTGCTTGGATCATTCTGGCATATTTGTCTGATAACCTGCCTAATTTTTGTACAGGATATCTTCACGATTTGACAGAGACAAAACATCCAGCTGTGAGTTATGGGCTAAGATAAAGACAATTTCCCTGAGCTTTGAATTCTGTTAAAGGATGAAATTCTCTCTCCAAGGAAGCCAGTTCAATCAGTTTATAGAGTCCAAATTGCACTGAAAGACAGTTATGTTAACACACCCGGCTCCACACACACAGCTACAATGTTTTAAGATACAGTAAGAGACACAGCCCAGCTGACTCTTCTATTTTACTCTTTTTGCAGCTTGCAAAGTTAAAAAAAATTGATTTAATTGTCCAATCTTCACAAAAATGGGCCATGTTCAACTACTTGAAAGCTGATCATCCCAATAGGTGTGTGAATTTGAGACTGGAAAATTTTAAAGGGAAATATGGGTTTTGGTGGATACCAAATGATATATGAGATTATCTTCACGCTAAAATCCCCAAAGACTAATTTTTTCCTCTTCAGGTTATCTCCTGCTCTCAAGCTGCACACTTCCAAAGTTTGGAGCCTTTGCACAGGTGCAGGGGATCTAGCAAGGGGATAGGAAAATGAGGAGGAAGACAGAAACAGGCCATCCACATGCAGTAGCAGAAAGGATTCATTAAATCTAGGAGAAGCCTACCTCCAGTCAGAACAGTCTTCCAGATCAAATGGAGGCATGGACTGCACTCTAGTAGCAGTTGGAGCAGTCTTATTAGCAGACTAGAGCAGAAAAGAGAGGGAAGATCGTGAAAGAAATGGGCTGGCCCAAAGAGATGCACATTTCTTCTTACGCTAGATGGGTTAATCTTGTCACAAAAAGCTTATGAAATCAGAGCCCACAACAATTTGGCTTTTAGAAAAAAAATTATTATTAGAGTAGAATAATCCTTACATTCAAAATAATGGACATTTGTACAAAAGTAGAGTCATACAGTCAGCAGTGAACCAAAACTAGTAAAAATATCTCTTCAAAGTACTGTCAGAGTAGCATTTTATGATGACAAAATCTGTAGCTAAAAGACATGGTAAAAAACAAGAGCTCAGTCCAGCAAGGAGAAGAGAAAACTACACCCAGGGTAATAACAACTCTGGGAAACTCATATGCAGAGTAATGCAAAGTACAGAACTGTTAAACCCTTTGCTACATTAGCTGACCTTCATCTTCACCATTATACAAACAAACCCCTTCAGTTATTGGTTTTTGGTATTTCTCTGAGAATCTGGCACTTTGGGAAGCAATTTCAGGAAGTGCATTGTAGAAGTGCATACAGCAGTTTTCTCTCCAGGTAGTTTAACATTAAAATGCAGGCTTGTTCATGTATTCTTCCACTGTCTAGAAAAAAAAAATAGAAGAAACAACTGATGCATTATGGAGTGGTACAGTAATAGTCATACAAAACCTCTTGTCCTCCTTGAGGGCAGTTGTAGTTTTGCATGGAATTAGATCAGATTAATTAAAATGTAGAAATAATTCTGCTTTAAAAACATGTAACAGAGTGGTTTAGAATCTGATCCTCAAATCATGACATACCACAGCTATGGCTAAACTCATCGTGCCCAGTGGCCTCTGTACACAGCTGGCTGAGTTCCATGTGCACATGACAGACCACTGGGAAAGCTGCTCAACTCACACAGTGTGTCCTAAGCTAGTTCTACCCATGTGCTGCTTCCTTCACAATTAGGATGGATCCTTCACTGTCAAGTTAAAAATGAAGTAAATCCATCACATGCAACTCCTTTTGCCATTCCTGGCACAACACCACCAGTTACAGAGAATTCCTGCAGGGTTCTGAATAAAGGTTACATATCTGTGCCTGGCAGAACTACACAGGTGCTTCTGAATGGAAGTGGACTTTGCCAGCACATCCTCTTTCCAATTTTAAATGTTAATAGTACGTCATCTGTTTCCAATGTATTAGTGAAACACAAGAGATTTTTCCGTATCTATATATACATATATCTATACATAAAATATAATCTTAAAATATGATCTTATAGAAATATCTTTGATGCGTCTTAAACTATTTCTTAATACACTATCTGTGAAATTCTAGCAGTTAAACTGCAAGAGAGCAACAGCCATATATAAAGAGTCTCCAGATGATTCCAAGAGGGTTGAACTGAAAGCTTATGTAACTGCACCATTGTACCTGTTAAAACTGAATGCAAGACACACTTGGATAATTAAATACCAGAAGTGCTTAGCTGTGTTTTCAGCTCCTGTCAAACAAGGAAGATGTAGGAAGATGATGTGTTTGCCTTTTGTCTTCCTCTGCCTTACCTCCTGCAACATGTCACAGTCTTCTATGGCTTTCACTGCGGTCTTCTTTGAAGTTTCTTGTACTTCTCCACCAATTATAAACTCATCAAGAATAAAATAAGCTTTTTCAAAATTAAAGATAATATCCAGCTCGCACACCTGCCAGAACAAAAGGACACATCACATTTAAGCCACTTTTACAACATTATAAGCATTCCTGGGTCAGAAGTTGTTGGGTTAATCAAATATACTCAACATATGCACTCTTGTGGCAGGTACCAGGGTGAAGAAAGAAACTGAATATTATGTAATGTTGAAGCCTCTTCACATAAACAGACTTACAGCAAAGACATTCCACTTATTATTAAATCCATACTGGCTCTCAGAGAACAAAGTAGACTTCCTAGCCTACTAACCTTACAACAGGTCCTACATAGCCCTTGTAAGATGGGTTTCACTGAGCAAGAAAAATTCCCTGCCTAGTGACAGCCACCAACCACTTTTGTGTTTTGAGGCAGTACAGACATGAATCATGGCACACTGACTGAAATGAGATGAATTAAGGTAGTCAGGATAGTTTCAAAAATATTCATAGAAAAGATGGGTCTCTTGTAGTCTTCAAAGACTTACTAAAAGACTTACTTGGACCTTCTTCAGTTCTTTTCTTTAAAAACACTCCCAGTTTATCTTTTTCCCCGTTCTGTGTTCTTAAGTGTTACACAGTATTATGAAACAAACAAAACCAGTATATCTGAAGACATCAGGAGGGAGAATTAAAGTACTTTAACCCGTTTTTTTTTTAAAGTAATTTTCCTCAAGCCTTCTCTTCAAATTCTATTCCAAGACAGACATACTAAGTATCAAGATTAATTTGGAGGGGGGAGGAGGGGGAAGAAAGGATGGAAAAACAATCTTATGATTGTTTCAGTAGTATTTTATAAATTACTCTAATAATGAATTTCACTCTGGATTGAGAAAGCCTGCAGGGCAAGTACTGCAGATGGAAATGTGAAGTAAATGAGCTTCACATAGCTTTGTGTATCAGACAGACAGGAATGAGTTCATGGGAGAAAGTGAAACCTACATTTCCAAAGTATTTGTCCAGGAGCTCTACGTATCGATGAACAACCTCTAGTGTCAGGAGCTCATTATCCTGGTCTTCTATTGCACAGCAGAAATACAAACTGGCATACCTGGGGAAACAGAAGCAAAAACATGAGAGTGAATAGCTGGGACCTCAGTGCTCTGCTCGTCTCTTAGTAGTTACTTGTATAACAGTTAATTCTGATCTAGTCTCTAAAATAAACATTTCCTTTCATTCTTATAGTATCCCAGAGAACACTTTAAAAGATCAGAGAATTTAAACAAGTGATTATTTTAGGTAGACCAACAAACTCCACCCTTGGTAAAGTGGGATACCTCCAACACTGGTTGGGATAAAATAAACAATAAATCAGTAGTACTTTCAGGTCTCTCTCACCTGCTGCAATAGCACTATAGTAAGTGGGGTTAATTAAACTGCAGGACAAGCTACTCCTCCTAATTAAAAAAGGCAAAAATAAAGGTGAAAGGAGTCACATCTCAGTAAGCCTGCTGGCTATCAAATGACAGTGTTTTACACAGGGCCAGAATGCATGAAACTGCTTAGACCAAACAACTTTCACAACTAACTTGCAGCAAAACTTTTATGTTTAAACCAACCTAAGATGCAAGAACGATCTACCTCAGTTCACTGGTGCTGTGGCTGGCTCACAGCAGCTGATCAGATGTTTATATCCCTCCTTTCACTGCATGGAACTCAATTTTTGCTATATGGGAGATGTTGCTTAATTTGTCTAGCTATACCTTAAGGCTACTTTTGTTTGCTACAACTTTAGAAGAATGAACAGGGAGTAAATGTTAGGTATTGTGTAACTGGGAACCAGTGATTTCTTTGGAAAAGGAAATGGGAATTAACACTTTCCAGAGCAACAAATATTTCAAAGACAAAATCTGGCAAAATATTGGAAGTACCTCAGAACAGTTCTTGCAACCCCCCAAAGAGCCTGATAAAGTCCAGCACACATCTCAGCAGGCTACCTCCTGAATTAGAAGGCACAGTGAAGTCTAGAGCCTTCTAACCACCAATACTTATTAGACTACTCTCATTTTTCTCATTTGACAAACTGTACAAGTATTTTGCACCCCACAATTTACCCTGCTGGTTTGTCCAGGGACACTGCATTGTTATACACAGTCAGATGGCAGGCTCCTAACTGAGCCTAGCACTAAGAGTGTTGTTTGCTGCTTTTCTTGAAGTGAGCCTTTACTCTTCTCTTATAGCATGTGTTATTCATATGAATAATAATTATACGTTCTTATAAAATTACTCACACCTTTTGTAAACAAGCTTGAGGTCTTTCCAGTCAACAAAACTACTTGTTTTTTGATTGCGAGACAAAATAATCTGAACAATTTCTCGAATGATCTTTTTCTTCTCTTTATCAGGTAGCGTCGTGTACCATTTCTGAAGCCTTAACTTCCCCTGCCGACTGAACAGCAGGATAAAGTGTATCTAGAGTAAACAAAGCAACATGGTTAACGCCAGGGCCATGGCCAGAGAAGAACAGTCCTCTGCCCATTGCCAGAAATCTGGAGTCCTGGCCACGCATCTCCAGTCTTGGTGTGACGTTTGGACATGATGTCAGTAATGTCCAGGGGAAAGATCCCTCCTCTCTCCTGTTTCTTCCCCAGGCAGCCCTCCCCTCCCTGTGGGACCTCTTCCCTAGGCCAAACCCTTTGCATCCTCTCCTACCCATCCTTCCTTACCTTGTGCAAACAGTAGCTTTGTTTTCTTTTCTGTCTCTGCCCTGGGGTACAGGAGGAGCATCACCACTTTGCAGTGGTGAGAAGAGGGCACCACCCCCTCCTCCAGCAAGATCAGATACCTCAGTGAAGGGAATAAAGACTTATCCACAAAAGGGCTAGGGAAATCAAGATCAGTGTGGCAGAAGACTAGAAATATGAATACCGAGACAGTAATCATAATCACTAACAATTCTGACATTTCAGGTCACAAACAAAGCAGCAGGTTCCTAGAAGAGGCAATAAGGGGTGGTAGAACTTTGGAAAGGAGGCTTGACTAGTTTTACTAAAGAAATCAGCAGACCATGAAACACAGACAATTGTGATGGACAGACCTCATTGAGCAGGGATATATTATATTAAATAAAGTATAATATCTACACTGTTCTAAAATCTCCAGTTTAAAGCTAGTCATAATTTTACAGGGTTTGACTCATGATTTTTTCATGCTTAGCATAAGCAGTATTACTGAAATACACAAGAGCCGGCTTTTAAATGCCAGTGGGGCTTTGGGAGAAAAGTATCAATTCACATTTATACAAATACTTCTATTAGCAGGTTAAAATAACTGACCCTAGTGTATGTGAGCAGTACAATAAGCCATTTACTCAGAGCGCAGAAATGGTGTTAAGAATGCAGGGCATCTATTTGAGGAGGACATCCTTCTCAACAGAACATCCTCTGCTAAATGGAAAAAAACTCCACAAACCCACCTAAGGGGGATAGAGATGTTTTCAGTGGCTGAAGACACTGTGAACTGCCCTGTTCTTGACAGGCACCCCCATTGCTGTTCTCACCAGTACCAATGCCTGGAGGCCAGGGCTGTGCAGGAAGGATGTCTAACTGTGGTCACATCCATGTGCACGATGACAGGTATGCTGCTACTTGTCCGTGCAGTGACTGACGGCTTCCCTGGATCCCGGGAGGACCAGGGAGAAGCACAGGAGCCTTGCTTTCCTCACTTGCTCCCAATCCTTGCAAAGTCCCAACAGAAGATCTGGGAGATCCCTTACCACAACCCCATTCCCATTAGCCTAACCTTACCCTTCCCTTTAGTTTTTCAATCTACACCCTACTCCCTTCTGCTTCTTGTTTTCTATTCCAGGTTATTACTGTACCTATACTTCATCACTCCATTTCCCCAGTGAGGACTATAAAGTTAATGTTCACAATCACTATCAACATTACAACGCAAATTTCTGTAAAGATAAAATCACTCCACACTTTGGTAAAGTCTGAGCAGAGAAGAGCACCAGAGAAGCTTCTGCAAAATAGAAAAAAAAGAAAAAGCTACTGGATTTTAAACAAAGCATTCATTCATAATTCAGAACCATTCTTTAGCTATTGAGTTGCATAGTTATTGAGTAATCCAAAGATAAGAGTTCTGACTATATTGAGAAAGACTTCAAATATAGGATTGTTTTAGGGAAAGGAGGACTGTTTTATTCATGTGTCTGTGGCAGCATCTACTTCTAGAAAAAAGGCTCTCGCCATCACTAGTCTAATGTGCTTGATAAAATTACAAGGATTTTGTAGCTGCCTTGTGTTGAGTCCTAAAATACCCTCCAGACGAGCTTGCAAATAAAAAGTATGCTGCTGGCAGTACACACACCCTGATTACAGTGAAGAGCAAAGCACCATGTTTCTGCCTTTCTCTGCTTATATTACCAACTGGGTTTGACATGGTAGTATTCCAGCTGCCAGGGTTACCCCCTCCCAGTACATGTAGGGACAGCACTTACTGTCCATACACTTGTGCACTGAGAGGAGCTGGATGAATGAAAGGCTATTTTGCACAGCACATTAACTCCAAAGCCCTTGTAAAGATGAATATGTTTTGAAAAGCTGAGCACAGGTTCTACAGATAAGAGCAGCAGGTCAGCAGGAGTCCTTCTAAAAGCCATTGGGTACAGGTAGCAGCTATTTGATAAACAAATTTCTAAAGATATGGTGAATCATCAGATCGGAGAGGATGATCAGTTTTGACTGAAAATGCCAGGGAATTAGTCAGTGAAACCCTATCAAAAGCTGACAGCATGTTCAGCATAAGACGGTGAGATTTGAGACATCTTCTGGAAGAAATGTATTTGCCTGGAGTGCTTTAATAGGGAAAGAAAATGAAAGCATATTCTGGTTTAGTTGTTGGACCCTCAGTTGTTGGACCGAACAGATCTTATATCTGAGTGCCTGCAAGTAATACATGTATATCTCCAAGACAGCAACCTTATGCCTCTAAAAGGTTAAATAAATACCAACAAACCAGGGAATCACTGTGAATATTACCATTATTTTTTGCTGATTAGTTACTTCAGGATGTTATGCTTCACCCATAGCAAAGTGCAATGCTCTTCACTTAAAACTGCTTTGAGAACGCCATTGATTCTTCTAAGGATGCAGTTGATGTCTCACCACCACTTTCATGATCAGAGGCAACATTCTTTGCAATCAGAAAATATCTATTACTGCTCCTAAATGCACCAAGATTCGTACACAAGCTCCAAAATCACACTGTTTCATATGCAGAATATAACTGCATACCTCGTATGGTAATTTTACAGAAATATATGCAGCTAGATAATAGGTAGAGCCTCTACTGTAGTACAATTCTAATTTTACAGTCTGCATAATAACAAGGTACATATGACTGCCCAGCTGAGAATTACTGTAACAAAACACATTACAAAGCTGCAGATACCTAGAAGAGAAAATATTGTGGGTGTTTTTTCTCCTCTTTTGATTCTTCTTCCTTTTTCTAAATTCTAAGGCCCCTTCAATCTGGGTAACCCTCCAGGAGTTGTAATAATATTACATTCTCAAGAGGTTAAATAGCTTCATTCCTGTAAGCATAAGCACCCAACTGTTTCATTCAGTTCAGCTTTGCTCTGCCCAGTCACACTGACATGACACAACACATTCCTCACTCTCACGGCTCTGTTCGTTACAGCCCACTGGAAAGATTCTGATGCATCAATAAACCTGGAAATGTTGAAGTACTGCACCAACACAGATCTAACAGCTCATCTGTTCCTTGCTCCTTGACTCTGAAAACATATTTGCTTTCCTATAGTGCTAATGACAAGATGGATGTTGATTAAGGAATTTTTTGTTGGTTTCCAGCAGCCAAACTACAAACAGAGATAAATTACATTGCAATATTTTACTCATTGTTAAAAGTTCCAACTCCAGAGGAAAACAAAGGGAAATGACTTTCTACAAGCAAAATACCTCAGAAGCAGGGTTCTTGGTTCCCTTTCCTACCATCCTAAGGGGGTGCTGGCTGTGACTAACAAGCACCAGACCCAGGGGCGATGCCACAGGGAATTTTTAGGTCCGAGACTGAGTGGGTTGGGATGAGGAGTACAGTTCCTACGAGAGCATCAGCTGCCTTCACATGTGGAGTCTGTGGAGACAAGCTTTGGTCTGGGAGCTGAGTGTAATTTTATTAGCTTGTTTTACTGAATCAGATCCAACCACCTACAGCACTGTGCAAAATGACCTCTGTAAACGTCAGTAAGTAGCCTAAATGACTCCACTTTCTATTTAGAGGCTACTGAAAAAAAAAAAAAAGGTGGGTTTTTTTTAAATCCAGCATTTAAACCAGATTTCTAAACTTGAACTCTATGTTCTCATGCATCTCTGAATCAACTGCTACTTTAAGTTACATGACAGATTGGAAAGTTATGGGGCCTTCTCTTTTATCGAGATCTACAAAGCTATACTAAGCTATCCTTAGTTTTAGGGCTACAAAAAAATCAAATGGCAGACTTTGACATGAAATAATTTACCAGTAAATGGAACAGACATAAAAAATGCAAAATACAGGTTTGCATGTTCATGAACAGCAAACAGAAGAGAAAAACACACTGTGATTTCTTTCCACCTTCCTAGGGAGACCTTTCCTTCCTTTAGCTAATGGGCTGTCATGATCTGATAAGCAGCTCACCCAAGCTTGTCTTCTGGACTGTTCCGTGTCAGGACTGGAGGTCCCCTTTGGTGCAGCCTTCCCCAGTGTTTGGCCATTACACAGTCCAGACTGATCAAACACGTTACAGTTGGCTCACTGGTTTCAAACTCGGATCATTTGTTGCTTTTACAGAGCTTTTTAAATTTAACCTAATCTGTACTGCAACATTTAGCACAACCATCTAAAGGGCTCCAGCCTGTGCTCTATTACATACTCAACAAACCACCCATAGGGAGAGCAAATAAAGATGACTCCATGGGAAGACAGGGGTCATTTGTCCAGTTCACTGTCCAACGGTGTAAACATGTAAAAGATGCCACATTTCTTCCTGCAAAGTGAACTCCAGGGGTGTGCAGCGAGGCTCTAATTCACCCCACTGTGAAAAGAATGTGCCCCAGAAATGCTTCTGCTCCTCCCATAATTCAACCTGCACTACATTTGCTGACCGGTTTCAAACCTGTTCTGTGGCATCTGGCTGCTCCAGGTCCTTGGGGGGGACAGGACAGGAAGACTTTGAGGAGCCTCAGGGGAGGGGAGGCAGAAGAGGAAGACTGTGGAAAAAATAGCAAGCATCCTTCTCTGGGCAAGGATTTGCTTGGCTAGGCAGCTCTGTCACTCCAGCAGCACTGGGGGTACACTCTGCTCCAGCTGAAACCCTTCCAAATTCAGTTAAGAGCCCTCCAAAACCAAAGCCACCTTTACAAAACAGAGATTCCTAAAATTCACATGTAACTAAGGTTTGCAAATTAGGAATCGCTATCCCAAAACATCTTGGCAGAATGTCGAAACTCTTAAGATTTCCTTAAAAACTTTCTGTAGGGCAACAGGCAATATAGGACATACTAATGGATGAAAATTCCTGGACCTCATAAAATAGGAAGTGGGATGAAAAAGCCATACCTTCAGCTGCTGCCAGAAGCCTGGGGAAAACCAGACTGACTAGCTGTACCTGGCAGAGGAAGCTACTTTTTATGATAAAGTTCTCTCTTAACTTATTCTGATTCCTTGGAAGTCTGCTTGATCTTCTAGCACTGTTTTAGTCTAGTTGAGTTCATATTCTACTTATCTTTTGCTATTTTTCATTCTTTTCTCTGATATGAAAGAATCTATGTCCCAGCACAGGACAGCTGCCCAGATGTTTTTATTAGTATTTATTTTTACATCACATCTGAAATGGAACAAAACCTGCTTTCATTAAATTGTTTCTTTTAAAAAGTATAAACATTCACAGTATTCCACCTATTAAGTGACTTTTTTTTCTCCAAAACACTTGAAGAATAAAAGATTTCTTTTAGCTTTTGCTTTGTTTAGTGTTTGTTTTTTGGCAGAAGGAAAGTAAATACTGAAATTTAAAAAAAAAAGAACAGTTATACTGTGAACACAGAGATGGTTTGGAATGTCAGGTGTTCAGGGTGAATTGAGAGAGATG